GCGGTTACGTGCTTGGAGCGCATCGACACTCACAGACAGCTGCGAGGTTTGTAAACGTTAGTCAAAACAATCATACATGAACGAATAACTTACTATCGCTGACTGGGAAGGTCTTATCGGTGCTGGATACATTGGATATCTCATCGCTGGAGTCGACGACCAGAACCTTTGGAGGTGCCTTTGCCTTCCCCTTTCCTTTCTTCGACGGGGCCTGCTTCTTTGTCTTGCGTGCCTTGACCGGCTTCTTCCTAACTTCTTGACGTTCAACTACGGTGGCCACGTGTTCGCTGTGGTCCACCTGAGCTACGTTGTTATCATCATTACCTTACATTATGCAAGGATCACTCACCTCATTCTCTGACTCCGGATCCAAGGTTTGTTGACGAGATTGAAGTCGAGGTCCTGTACTGGCCGACATGCGAGGTACATGGTCGCCCCGTAGTTTCGACTTTTTCTCAGATTTTGTAGTTGACGAGGACGCCTGGCCTGCAACACACGTTCAATGCTGGTGCATCAGTTCCAGCGATGTCTGAAACTTACTAGGTTTCGTCACCGTGGTCGACATGCGACGTACCGTCGCAGTGGCTTTGATTCGAGGCTTCTGGGTGATGCAAACCTCAAATGGTTGATGGGACAAATGGTTGATGGCGGTGGGCTGTGCAATTGCGACATCGACGATTGTTGGCTCTGTGACAGTGCTTGACGCTCCTGCTGGCTCTGGGACAGAGCTTGACGCCGCTGCGGCTCTCATGGCATCTATATCCACAATCGCCGCGTTGATCACTTCGTCAATGCTGCGCTTGTGCACGAAAGGGCCACCGCACGAATCGTCGCCATCTGCACACAATGCCTTGTGCAGACTTTGATGTGTCACTGGAGTATACGTAGAATTATAAACCACATACAAACAATGTATAAGTCGATCGCTTACTCGATTTGATTCTCTTGTAATCCTTCTTCGCTCTGAAATCAGCCCAAGTGCGGTTCATCTTCTCCTCGGCAACTCGCTGGTGTGTCGAGGCGAACGCGCTGTTTTCTAATGTCAGCGCGATGTGATAGTCGAGAGCTGCCGACCGCCAATTTGATTCGGTGGCCTTGGCACCACCTTCCTCAACTTCGCGAACAAACGTGGTGATTACTGAAGCAACGTATGAAACGAGGGCGAGGTAAAACTGAACGTCAGGATCGTCGACCGGTATCTCAGGGCGATCGATCAAGGCATCGGCGGTACGCCGAAATACGTCTAGCTGACACATCGTGACCGTGAGGAAGTCGATGCATTTCGCTGGGACTCGAACACTGGTCTAACAATATGTTGAAGCGCGCCACACACAGACGTTTAGCCAATCGAACTTACCTTGGTTTCACCATCGCCCAATGACAACGTTGTCACGTTGTCCTCATCTGCCATCTCCAATGGGTATGTCAGAAGGACATCGGCCATCGACTCATTGCGAGCGTTCATGGTGAGAGCGATTGGGTCTTTCGGTAGAGGCATGGTAGTGGGGCTGATGGTGTGCTAACTTGAAGGTATGATCGCGCACTGGTTCAAAGCTAACCACGTCGTTTTTCCCACAGGCATGCGATCACGTGATCGTAATTAGCCGAAATGTTCATTTTGGGTGAATTGACCAATGACCGACCCTTGCACCTGCGATCAACTGCCTTCCTGCCTTTTCTCCCACTACCAACTGCCTTCCTGCTTTCACCATGGTTGTTATAAAGCCAAACCACTATCGAATGGTTCCCGCAGCAACGCAGCCTGCAGCTGCGACTCAACCTGCATTGCCATCGCAGGTACCACCGCCAGCTGCTTCACAGTCGCAGGCAGATGTAAGCATGGACCGTGCGCCAGCTGCTTCACAGTCGCAGGAAGATGTGGGGATGGACCGTGCGCCAGCAGGATCTGCGAATGTGCGAAGGACTCATCAGCAACCGGCCGCGGTGGGGAATAGAAAAAGCACCCGAGTTCGACGTGCCCCCAAGCAACACAATGCACATTCCATGCACGCGCCTTACGCCCGATTGACCCCGATCAAGCACGAAGACAACATGGAGGTCGATGAAGGTGAGGAGATGGTCGTGGAGCAGCAAAAGGAGGTTTCAGAGATATCGGAGGAAGCAACGTTGGTAAGTCTCAACGCTCCCTGTGCATCAATCATACGAGGCTCACATGGTGCTCAGTTTTGTATATACTGCCACGATATCGGATCATTCATTTGGACGTGCATTGTGCCAACCTGTGGGATCAACGTTTGCGTCAGGAAGGAGCATGGAGATCATGGATGCGTGGACGCTACGCCAAATCCACGTACTGGCAGGCGATTGGTTACAGAAGAGACATTCAAGTGCCCTCAGTGTTATCGCAATGAATCTCAACCCATTCCGGTGAGTACGCTCACGCTATGATACCTATCGCAAAGCGGATGACATCTTTCTACTGACTAGTACATCATATATGGATACTCAGTAAGGCAAGATTATCTCCACCGGAACTACTTCCCCCTTCTCGCCATCTTCTTGACTTGGAGCGGATTTGGCAGTCCTTATGCGTCCAACAACGTCCAGGCCATGCTCAAGGCGCAGTTCACCGTCGATCCATCTAGGGTACGTCGTGGCTTCAACTGCTATCATAGCGAGCAGCCAGCTTAGTGAAAGCAGCTACGCATAGCTACAAGAGCTCTCAAATCTGGGAACAACAATCCACGCGCCATGGATCCCCACTTTCAGTGGCTGGAGAGCGTGAAGTACGAAGGAAATCTCTTACTCTTCATCAATACCCATTCGGATACCGAGACTGGTGACCTTGTCGTTTCCGGTAACCCGAAGCACGCTGGGTCTGTACCGATTCATGAGGTGCGTATCTTGTACTTTTTCGTTCACCGCACGTCATCAGCAACTAATCGAATTCGCTTCAGCTGATAGAAAACTACATCGGAGACCATCATCTGGCAGCTGCCGCACAGGCGATCGCATCAATCAACTCGAAGCCTGGGGTTGGCCCATGCACTCGTGGCCTTGTCATCTGCACGTGTGGAGCGACTGGGAGAGTGCCCAAAAGTGCCGAGCTGTTGAAGAGTTTCGTCGAGAAGTACGTGTATATATTCCAGCATTATAATCGAAATTGACATCTTTTATTATCAGTGACATTTTTGATTTTGTTCTCACTTTTGCAGGCGTCTATACCATGGACACAATCGTTGCGCCCGCCTTGACCCGGTTCGTCGAAAATGTGTACATCTACGACATGAAGATCTGGGACGCACTTGAAAAGTCGTTCGGCGAGGATCTTCACGCACTCAAGCAGGCGCCAGTGATGTTGGCGTTCGCCGACATACGTATTGGCCCGAACAATACTCGCGAACGTGTGGTCGATTCACGGGTGCTCGCGTACTCGAACCTCTTGGATGGCAGGCCTTGGGGCCTGGATATATTCCGTTGCTTGAACGCAAAATGTGGTGCCCCATCCTACAACATCATCTTTCACCCTTACGGCAAAAAGTACTATGGGAGGTACTGGTTGAACACGAACATCAGGTATACCTGCCTCCAGTGCCGCATGACCGTAAACAAGATCCCATGTCCAAAATGGATCCACGCAGCTTTCTCTCAGAATTATGGGCGAGTCTGGTATCAGTGGCCACTGACTGCAGCACAATTACGCGACATTGGTGTCACGCGATGATCCTGGACTACGTCGCTCTTTGTAATGTAGATACAATGTCGTCGTTGCTTTCATATATCGATGTTATATCCCGTCACACTTGCTCAGAATTCTACCACGTAACTGAGTGAACTACAGCCATTGCGCAATCGAGTCCTACACCTGGCGCGTGCTTGCTTCTTTGTAACACCTAACGAAATAATAGGTTTGGGAATCTATTGTGCACATGTGTCTCGGCACCATCACAACATCATGCCTATATCAGACGCTACTGTCGTCTTTGTGAATTGTGGACTTATGAGCAACTGCTTCCATTTTATCGACTTTGCGTGGCACATTATAAGACAAACTACTGTAGCCCTCATAGTATCTCATGTTTCGGCAAAGTCGTACTTCTTGCAATATATCATCCAGCAAGCCAGATATCTGTACATCACCTGCATGTATCCACTTGACTCTATGCGCCGGCCTCATAATAGGCATACAATACGCGCAGGGAGTAGTATACATGTCCACGCAATATTTGATGCATGAACTCGAGACCAGGGCGCAACTTATTTTCAGATTCAACCGGTAAAATACCCTAAAACAAATGTCCCGTCGTCAACCTCCCACAGCATGCCAGCGACACTCTCCAACCCCGAAAATTGGAGTCCAGCTACGAGATGGATTACTCTATGTCTGAGTCAAGCATGTACGTTCAGGCAAGCTGCGCCAACTCGCAGTAAGTGGCATCCTACGCCCGCCCCTCAATTTCTCCGCGATGCAGGTATCAAAGTCCCTCGAGTACACGCGGAGGTACTCGTACAGCATGCCTAGAGCGACGATGGCGAGGAAGGAGAAGACGAACTGGAGGTGCGAACTGATATGCCATTGGGAGAGTACAATGCGCTGGGTTGATGCTTGTGCGCTGCGGCAACTGTGGTTGAGGTTGTGATTGCGGTTGTGGCTGGGGTTAGGGTGACAGTGCAGCGTGGATGAGGACATCATTCTGCGGGGAAGGCGGAGGGGATGTCGTGTGGTGTAGGATTCCTGCGATGAAAGTGGATATGTTAGCGACGTCATCGAGACGAGCGAAATAGAGTTTATAAGTGGCGCTAGAAAAAGCAACAATGATCATGATGCCACCAATGAGCTGCCTTCATGGACGGCATAGGATCCCCTGATGGATGAAAGTAAATATGTTATCGGCGTCATCGAGGGGAACGGTAATGAGTGTATCAATGGCGATTGGAACAATGCAGCATCAGACCACGATGCCACCTGCCCTGCTGGCATTTTTCGAACCACGCGCTAGATTAGAACGTGAGTATTCGACCACAGACAGTGAGCGAGCGAACACGAACCTTGCGTCCACGCCCACAATATTGGGCACATGTGGTGTGGGTCCCTCGTAGCGTCCCTGGATGGCGAGAGACACGATAGGCACTGTTGCTGCAGCAGGTTTGAGCACCTGAAACACGGGGTGAGTGTCAGCACCCGGCGAGTGAAGAACGGGAACGTGCCTCCCACAAGTCGTTGATGCCCATCACCAGGAGCACGCTACAAATGTATTCATAAGATCAGTAAGGGCTGACGAGCACAGCCGCTATAGACGTGGAGGAGATGGGGAGCTGAATCAGAACAGGAGGTACTTACTTACCTATAGGGAATTGTGTACATGAGCGCCGGTGGCAGTACCAGCCAAGGTCCTGGACTGTAAATCCGAGGACCGTCAATCTGCACTAAAGCAGCATGCATCGCGGTCTTTTGGCTGGAGGAGAGGTCGGGTTACCACCCAGACCGAAGGTGGGTGCAAACGGAAGATTGACGGTGCTAATTGTCTGGTAAGGATATTCGTGACATGATTGTGACTCATTACACCAGCAGTCGGAGTTCGATATGTGGGAGTCTGAGTTGAATATCATGGAATGGCGACGTGGCGTGAGACCATCACGTGATTCATGGTTCAAGTCGTTGTCTGAGTTTCAATTACCTTTGTTCTTTCCCTTCACCACTTGTAACGTACCTGAAGACTTGTTGGTCCCGCACTTTGTTGAGTGCATTCTGGCGATGCCAGTGCCTTCAAGTTCACGGCTGTTACTTGTCGCTGGCTACCTTTTCCTGCTCCTTCCTCTTTCGCATTCGCCTGTCCACGCTTCTTGTGACGTACCTTAAGACTTGTTGGTCCCGCACTTTGTTGAGTGCATTCTGGCGATGCCAGTGCCTTCGAGTTCACGGTTGTTACTTGTCGCTGGCTCGCTTCTCCTTCCTCTTCCTCTTTCACATTTGCTTGTGCTCGCTCGCTTCTTGTGACGTACCTTAAGACTTGTTGGTCCCGCACTTTGTTGAGTGCATTCTGGCGATGCCAGTGCCTTCGAGTTCACGGTTGTTACTTGTCGCTGGCTCGCTTCTCCTTCCTCCTCCTCTTTCACATTTGCTTGTGCTCGCTCGCTTCTTGTGACGTACCTTAAGACTTGTTGGTCCCGCACTTTGTTGAGTGCATTCTGGCGATGCCAGTGCCGTCGAGTTCACGGTTGTTACTTGTCGCTGGCTACCTTTTCCTGCTCCTTCCTCTTTCCCATTCGCCTGTCCACGCTTCTTGTGACGTACCTTAAGACTTGTTGGTCCCGCACTTTGTTGAGTGCATTCTGGCGATGCCAGTGCCTTCAAGTTCACGGTTGTTACTTGTCGCTGGCTACCTTTTCCTTCCGCTTCCTCTTTCACATTTGCTTGTGCTCGCTCGCTTCTTGTGATGTACCTTAAGACTTGTTGGTCCCGCACTTTGTTGAGTGCATTCTGGCGATGCCAGTGCCTTCGAGTTCACGGTTGTTACTTGTCGCTGGCTACCTGTTCCTTCCTCTTCCTCTTTCACATTTGCTTGTCCTCGCTCGCTTCTTGTGACGTACCTAACGACTTGTTGGTCCCGCACTGTGTTGAGTGCATTCTGGCGATGCTAGTGTCTTCCAGTCTACACTTGTTGCTTATCGCTGGCTCGCTTCTCCTTCGACTTTCACATTCGCTTGTCCTGGCTTCTTGTGATGTACCTGACGCCTTGGTGGCCCCGCGCTCTGAAGAGTGCATTCTGACAATGTCAGAGCCTTCGACTCTACGGTTGTTGCTTTTCGCTGGCTCGCTTGTCCATCCTGCATGCCTGCCTGCCTGTCAACGCCTGCTCGCTCTTGTCACGTACCTGACGACTAGTCGGTCCCGCGCTTTCTGTACCTGGCTCGCTTGTCCAAGTTGCTTCATATCTGCTTGTCCTCCCATGTCCGTCCTGCACGCCTGCTTCTCCACGCCTGCTCGCTCTTGTTAAGTGCCTGACGACTCGTTGGTTCC